CCTTGCACGTGTGGGCACTGGTTCTAATCCTGGCAGCCCTACTTCTCATCCAGCTCCCTGCCTGTGACCTGGAAAAGCAGTTGAGAATGGCCCAAGGACTGGGGACCCAGACCTATGTGGGAGACCCAGAGGAAGCTCCTGGCTCCTGGCATTGGATCGGCTCAGCTCCAGCTGTTGTGGCCACTATGGGAATGAATCAGCGGATGGAAGCTCTTTGTCTCTCCTCCTCTCTGTGTATCTGACTTTCCAATAAAAAATAAATAAAATTTAAAAAAATAGATAAATCATTTATATATATATATTTTTTTTTCATTTTTATTTGTGAAATTTATCGTACAATTCTGTATAGTCTGGGATTCCCCTCCCCCATTTTCCGCACCCCCAAAAAAGATAAATCTTTAAAGCAAAAGAGACACATGGATCTTTAAAATTTATTTCAGAGATAGTTTCCATTCATTGATTCGTCTCTTACCCTTCCCTCCCCCCGCCCCAAAAAAAGGTACTGAGAGGCTGAGAGTGGACCCAGTAGAAACTGGGAGCTGAGAATTGAGTCTGGGTCTCCCAGGTGGGTGATAGGAACCGTTATTTGGTCCATAGCATGACCTCCCAGGGCCTACTGAAGTGGGAAGCCGAGACAGCGGCAGAGCCGGGAGGCCGGCCCCAGGTCTCCGCTGTGGGACACCAGCGTCCTACGCTGCTCCTGCACCTGCTCCAAACGCAAACCTTTTAGGTGCATGCACGTGCTTGGACCTTCTCCCCGCCCAAGTCATTAAGTTCAAAGTATTGAAAGGCTTTCATCCCAAGGGCAGAGTGTACCTGGGACAGGAATTGGTTTGTTGTAAATACTAATATTTACATATCAATTACCCAGATTGGTTCCCCCAACCAGCTTGACACATGTTTACTATAAATACTTGAGTAGGAAAGCAAGCTAGATGACACCCCCCCATAGCCAGCAGTGCTATCCTCTGGTCAGACTCTTCCTAGCAGTGGCTTGGCCAAGGCAGGCCCCGAGCTGGGCCTCTCCCGCAGGCTTGGAGCCCAGAAGCATGGCCCCGTTGGAATCTCTTCTTTTGCATCCTGTGCCTTCTCAGTGAAAACGAAGGGTTCTTCCTGTTCTCCTAGCTTCCTGGAGCTGCTGCTGCTGCTTGCTTGCTTTTTCAGAATATTTTTATTGGAAAGTCAGATTTACACAGAGAAACACAGAAGTTCCATCCACTGGTTTACTCCCCAAATGACTATGACAGCGAGAGCTGAACTGATCCAAAGCCAGGAGCCAGGAGCCAGGAACCTCCTCCAGGTCTCCCACACGGGTGCAGGATCCCAAGTACTTGGGCCATCCTCTGCTGCTCTCTGAGGCCACAAGCAGGGAACTGGATGGGGAAGTGGAGCAGCCAGGACTAGAACCAGTGCCCATTTGGGATGCTGAGACTTGCAGGGGAAGGATTAAATTGTCATTGCCACTGCGCTGGCCCCAGAAAAAAATCTTAGAGTGATTTTCCATCCATTGGTTCACTCCCCAGATGGCCACAGCAGAGGGCTGAGACAGGCTGAAGCCAGGAGCCTGCAACTCCATCCAGGTTTTCCACCTGGCTGCGGGGGCCCAAGGGCTTGGCTCATCATTCCCTGCCTTCCCAGGTCATAAGCAAGGAGTCGAATCCGAAGTGGAATGGCCACACCACAACCCTGGCCCCAGAGAAATGTTTAACAGGGGATGGCCGTGTCATTGGCCAGGGGCTGCCTGACCAGCAGGAGTTTCTGTCTTCCCCAACTCTGTCTTCCTCTAGGCCATTGGGCTCCCCACGCTTAGTGAGGTGGACATGCTGGTCACTGCCTGCCCTCTGGCGGTCATCCTGTGAAACAGCTCTTCAGTTGGGCAGCTTGCAGCGTTCCATGCTGCAGGAGAGCCAGCCTGCCTTGCTCCCTTTGGGGCTGCATTAGCACCTTTTGTACGCCATCCCCAGCACATATTTATTTGTTTGTTATCTTGCTGTAGTGTTCTGCAACACATGGGCAAACCACCAGAACCTGATTCTGGACTCAAAAATATTTTTTATTAAAGCTTATTATTTGGGGGCCTGGCGCAGTAGCCTATCTGATAGTCTTCACTTTGCACTCTGTATATCCTCTTGCCTCTGACTTTCCAATAAAAACAAATAAATCTTTAAAAAAAAAAAAAAAAAGTCATTGGGAAGCCTGGCACGGTAGCCTGGTGGCTAAAGTCCTCGCTTTGCACATGCCAGGATCCCATATGGGTGCTGGTTCCTGTCCCAGCAGACCCACTTCCCATCCAGCTCCCTGCTTGTGGCCTGGGAAAGCTGTCGAGGACGGCCCAAAGTCTTAGGACCCTGCACCCACATGGGAGACCTGGGAGAGGCTCCCGGCTCCAGATTGGCTCAGCTCTGGCCGTTGTGGCCACTTGGGGACTGAACAGTGGGTAGAAATGCTGTTTGTCTCTTTGTAAATCTGACTTTCCAAGAAAAATAAATAAATCTTTTTAAAAGCAAAAAAGCTCATTATTTGAGTGGTGAGCCTCGTGGGGTAAGCCCCTGCCTGGACTTGCTGCATCCCGTGTCTGGGTGCTGCTTCAAGGTCTGGCTGCTCTGCTTCTGTCCCGTCTTAGGGCTGATGTTCCCTGGGAGCCGCTGATGGCTCTCAAGTTCCTGAGTCCTACCCCCTGGGGAGACCTCAGATGCAGTTCTGAGCTCTTTGAGTTTGTGCCTCTCCCAACCCTGGCCATTACAGGCATCTGGGGTGTGAACCAGTGGCTCACAGATCCCTCTCGCCGTGTCTTCCTCTTTGTCACTCAGCCTTTTAAGGAGATGGAAATAGATATTTCTCAGTGGTGACAGCTGGAGCCTGTCGGGGCCGTGGCGTAGCCGCTTCTCTAATGTGGACAGATCCTGACAGCCTGGTTGTTTAAGGTGCGCTTTGTGTAAACTTCAAGAACCCTCAATGTTGAAATCAACCGGCGGCCTTTCGGTGCCTCCAGAAGCTTGGTGAGCGCACGTGGGTAGATACAGGCAGGGAGGGCTGAGGCCACTCAGCTGACAAGCAGGAGAGCTGGGATTTGAACCCCAGGCAAAAGAGCTGGCAATCTGTTCCCAAGATCTGTGCATTTGCACAGCACTCAGCTGAGTGACTTCCTGTGCACCCCGGGAAAGCCAAGGTTCCATCCCGCTGGGCGGAAGCTGTGGGAGAGGGCCCCTCTTCCCAAACAGTGCAGGGAGGGGTGGCTGAGAGCAGGCAGGCCGTGGCCCCTGCCGTCAGTCTGCAGTGCAGAGGCACGCTGCCCTGGGCACCAGGAGATCCCAGCCACAAGGCCCGGGGTCTCATCAACAGGGGTCTGGCATGCTGCCAGAAAAGATGGAGGTTCGTGCTTTGGGGGCTCATGGATACACGTTCTTGCTGAAGCCTGTTGCCTTGCTGCTTCTCCTGGAGTAGGTTCTTGAGGTCCACTGGCCATTTGCCCCTTTCCAAGTCTGCGTGGGCCCTGGCACTTAGACCCACTGACACTGGCCCTGACCCTGGCTCCCTCCCTGCCTCAAGAAGCTTCATAGTGCTGTTCTGGGTGTACTCGCGGCTTGTGCACCTGCACGGGTGTACATGGCTCTGGGGCCTAGCACGTCCCTGAGATTCCTAGAAGGGTTCGCCAGCAGCTGGGGCCAGGGAGCAGTGTGCGCCTCCCTGTCCTGGGCCCTGTCTGCTCTTGGCTGCCCGAGCTGAGGAACATCGTGCCCTGCTCAGACCCTCTGCCCTCCCTGTGGGCTGGGAAGTAGAAACAGGATCTCCAGTGGGTGTGCCAAGCTCAGCTTCAAGCCTCAATTACCCAGGTTCAGTTTCAACCCCGCTTGGTCAGGCATGGTGTGTCCCCTACATTCCTTCCTGTGGTCACAGACTACATGGCTGGTGGAAGCAGGGGCAAAGCTAGAGTTCTGGGGGCTCTGCTGAGGGGGCAAAAAAACGCAGCCCTCCCGCTCTGGGTGCTGTTGACACCTCGGCTTAGCCTGCAGGTTGGACTATGTGGAATGTTTACCTTTGGTTTGGGTAATAGCATGCTGGCGTTGCAAGTAGCCCTTAACTGCCTAAACCACAACACTAGCCCTATACCGTGTACCTTTGGATTCTTCCAGCCACAAGGGCTTTGTCAGCAAAGAGTGCTCAGCTGCTGGTAACGGAGAGATCAGAGCAGTAACTGCACAAGAAGGTCCCGGCCAGGGTGGCTGCAGGTTGATGCAAGCTTCTCCGGCAGGCTGGGGCCCTGGTTGCCGGCCGCTGCTTGCAGTCACATGCCGCAGGGAGGGAGGCACCTTCTGCCCGTGTGGCTCCTGCACACCCTGTCCTAACACAGGCCCAGCAAGAGCACTGGAAGGACCACAGGTCGTCCAAGAGCACTCTCGGGGCTGCAGCCTCAGCCACACACGGAGCCTGTTAGAGACTCGTGCAATAGACTCACGCAATGACCTGTGTACAGTCAGGTTGAACATTGCTCAACATGACCCCACTTTTAAACGATGAACCCCTGAACTCAGCTGAGCTCTGCAAATAGGAAAAAAGGGTACCAGCGCTGTGGCTCAACAAGCTAATTCACCACCTTCAAGACCCACCATCCAGTATGGGTGCTAGTTTGTGTTCTGGCTGCTCCACTTCCCATCCAGCTCCCTGCCTGTGGCCTGGGAAAGCAGTCGAGGATGGCCCAAAGTGTTGGGACCCTGCACCCACATGGGAGACCCAGGAGAGGCTCCTGGCTCCTGGCTTTAGAACAGCTCAGCTCCACCATTGCAGCCATTTGGGGAGTGAATCAGCATGTGGAAGATGTTTCTCTTTCTCTTTCTGTAATTATTTCTGATAAAAATTTTTAAAAGAAGATGCAGATCAGACACTGGCAAGATTGAGCTGTGCTGACTTGCACTTTCCAGGGCCCTGGAGCAGCAGAGCTTGGGGCCAGCCTGAGCACTGGGCGCATATGTGTCTGACCGTATTCTCTCCCTCCCTGCCAGCTACAAGAGGTTCACGCACTGCTACAAGCGCTTCTACCAGCTGCAGCCTGACATGACCCAGCGCATCTACGACAAGTTTATAACTCAGCTACAGACATCTATCCGGGTGAGTGGCAAGAGGCAGAGGTGCCTCTGGCTTGGGTTTGTCTCCGATTGTCAAGTGCCCCAAGGTCAGGGACCTCTCCCTTGGCCACTCTGCCCTCGGAGCTGCCCTGCCCCTCCCTGCAGGCCACAGCTGCTCCAAATGACCTAGGGATCTTAAGTACATGTTCTCTCATGGCCCCATGTTGTAATGATGGGTTTTATATGTTGTCTGCCCCACCAGACTGTGTGAGCTCAGCCAGGGCACACAGGGCTTACAACCCTGTAACCCCTTAACCCCTGCCCAGCACAGGGGCATTGAATCAATTGCTTAAATTTGGAGGAACTGAACAACACTGGGGATGCAGATGTGGGGCGCTTTCATTCACACATTTACGTGGCTGTGACTCCCAGGGGCCCACAAGGCACCAGTGTAGCTGCTGCAGCCAGATACCCATCCATGGGGTATAGCAAGGCCATGGCCTTCCGAGGCAGTGGGAGGAGGGACGAGCTCACTACGCTCTGTTGAAATGCTTCCCCATTTTATTTTCTTCATTATGAAAGCCAAGGTCAGGTGTTGGAGAAGTATAGACACAGGATGGAAATTAGCCAAGTGCTTACTGAGAGCTGTCAGCTCTTTCGTGGATCTCCACGTGGGCTCACTGGGATCATGTCAACTTTCTCCTCTTTCCTATAAAGGACGAGATCTCTGAAATCAAGGAGGAAGGCAACCTCGAAGCTGTCTTAAATTCCTTGGATAAAATTGTGGAAGAAGGCAAAGACCGCAAGGAGCCAGCCTGGTGAGGATGGGATAGTGGGCAGGGAGGTAAGAAGAGTAACTTTGGGTTCTGGAGCTGTACTGTAGAAGGTTAAGCCATTGCCTGCAGTGTCAGCATCCTATATGGTTGCCGGTTCAAATCCTGGCTACTGCACTTCCCATCCAGCTATCTGCCAGTCTGGCTGGGAAAGCAGCAGAGGATGGATGGCCCAGGGGCTGGAGTCCCTGCTGCTAGGTCGAAAACCAGGATAGGGTTCCTGGTGCCCATACCAGCCATTCCCAGCTGTTGCAGCCGTTTGAACAGTGAACCTATGGATAGAAGATAAAGCTTCTCTGTAACTCTGCCTTCCAAATGAATAAATTAAAAATATATATATTTTTAAATATGCATAGACAGGGAATCAGGATTTTTGTTAACAAAGAGAGACTGACCCATGTCCATGAGCTAACACAGAAGCATGACCTCTGAGAGAGGACCATTTGACAAGGATAAGAGACCAGACACAGAGCAGTTGAGGGGATGAGAGCCCTGGGGAAGTGGTTGCTCCCTAGGGGTGTACCTCTCAGGACCCCCTGGGCCTGTGCGAGGAGAGGAAGGGCCAGGGAATAGAAGAAGGCAAGGCAGACCAGTGGGGAGCTGCACTCGTGGGGCCAGCTGGCACCTGGTTCTTACTGCTCTGATACTGAACAAGGATTTAGGGAGCACTGGCTCTATGTGTTTGAGATGCCAAGTACTGAGCAATGGGCAGAGCTGACCTGGTGGGCAGCCCGGCTGTGGGGCAGGCCAGGCGCAGGCTGCAGGGGTGGGGCCTGGGGTCTAAGCAAGTAGGGCAGGCCACCAGAACCTGAGCAGCCTCCCTCCTGCCTAGCAGTTCAGGCCAGAGAAACCTTTTAGGCAACTTGATTTTATTTTCTGAACTTCTGTATGCTCTGTGACCTTAATGCTTAAAAGAATTAAGTTTTACAACTGAAATATAAATCCATATATTGTTTAATTTTTTAAAAGATTTTTCTTTATTGCAAAGTCAGATATACAGAGAGGAAGAGAGATAGAGAGGAAGATCTTCTGTCTGCTGATTCATTTCCCAAGTGGCTGCAACAGCTGGAGCTGAGCGAATCTAGAGCCAGGAACCAAGAGCCTCCTCCAGGTCTCCCATGTGGGTGCAGGGTCCCAAGGCTTTGGGCCGTCCTCGACTGCTTTCCCAGGCCACAAGCAGGGAGCTGGATGGGAAGTGGGGCTGCAAGGATATGAACCAGTGCCAGTATGGGATCCTGGCGTGTGCAAGGCGAAGAGCTTAGCCACTAGGGCACTGCCCTGGGCCTTATTTAATTTTTTTTAATGTTAAAAACATATTTGAGAAGCAGAGCAAGAGAGAAAGCTCTCACCCAGTGGTTCACGTCCTAAATACTCATAGCCAGTTGAGCTGGTTCAGGCCAAGGGTGGGAGCTGAAAACTCAATCAAGGTGGCAGGAGCCCCAGTGAACTTGAACTATCAGTCCCACCACCCACAGTCTACCCTAGCTAGAAGCCAGAAGCAGACATGGGACCCTAGTACTCGTATTTGTCATTCAGACAGCTTTGCCAGGGTTTTAACCTGGCTCCAGAAAGAATTTCTGAAAGAATCCACTCCAACCCCCATATCATCTCCTCTTATACCTGGTTTGGTTTCTCTTCCCATGTCAGCCAACGCTTTCTGGGGCCTCTTGGGGTTTGAGCCTTGACTCAGGGGTTCCCTCCCCAGCCTGGAGCTCATCCTGCTGCCACGCCTTGTCCCTCCCTCCAGCTCACAGTATGATGAGGAGGTTGCCTCAGTAGGACACCTGCCACCAGGGCAGGGACTGCAAAGTCACCTCTGACACTGAGGTGCCAGACAGTGGAGAGAGGAGTATTGCAGGCTGTGGTTGGGAAGGTTAAGCAAGAAGGGGGAGGTGGAACCCTTGGCATTGGGGCTGGGGGACAGCAGGCGAGTGTCCCCATCAGGAGCAGGTCTCCGGAGGAGAGCATGACTGCAGGAAGGGCTTGGCACCACCGGGTGGGAATGTGGCGGGCTGGGCCTGAAAGAATCATCTTAAGCTACATGTCCCTCCCTCCATGTACCCCATGGCCCTCTAGGCGCCCCAGTGGGATCCCCGAGAAGGACCTGCGCAGCACCATGGTCCCCTACTTCCTGCAGCAGCGGGACACCCTACGACAGCACGTGCAGAAGCAGGAAGCCAAGAACCGGCAGCTGGCAGAGGCCGTCCTGGCTGGGCGCCGGCAGGTGGAGGATTTGCAGCTGCAGGTACAGGCCCGGCAGCAGGCCTGGCAGGTCAGTGTCTGCTGGCTTCTTCCCCAGGGACCCACCGCCCGGCAGTGGCTTCCTCTGTCCCCAGATGAGGCATCCCCATAGGGGGCAGCAAGGACTGCCACCGTAGCACAGCCACTCACGGGCTCTCCCCGGGTGAGTGCGGTAGTTTCCTTACGACCTCCCAGAGTGCCATCTCATCCTGGGACCAGCAGAGGAGGAAGTGACGGGGGAGTAACTTCACAATGCAATGGTTCCTCCACATCAGAGTCAGACCCCCGAGGCCATTGTGCCCAGTATCTTTAAAGATTCATCTTTTATTTGAAAGGCAGGATTTACAGAGAGAAGGAGAGACAGAGAAAGATCTTCCATGTACTGCTTCACTCTCCAGCTGGCTACAATGGCTGCAACTGAGCCCCTCAGGAGCTTCCTCCAGGTCTCCCAAGTGGGTGCAGGGTCCTAAGACCCTGAGCTATCCTCCACTGCTTTCCCAGGCCATAAACAGAGAGCTGGATTGGAAATGAAGCGGCTGGAACACAAATCATATCCCACCCATATGGGATACTAATACTGCAAGGGGAAGATTAGCCTGTTGAGCCACTGTGCCATTCCCCTGCCCAGGATCTTTAAAATGTGTACCTTAGAATGATGGCAGGAGTTGGGCCTGGTGCTTAGTAGCTCACGTCCTCGCCTTGAACATGCCAGGATCCCCTGTGGGTGTCAGTTCTAATCCCTGCAGCCCCGCTTCCCATCCAGCTCCCTGCTTGTGGCCTGGGAAAGCAGTCGAGGACGGCCCAAAGCTTTGGGAACCTGCACCTGCATGGGAGACCCAGAAGAAGCTCCTGGCTTTAGGTTGGCTCAGCTCTGGCCATTGTGGTTACTTGGGGAGTGAATCATCGGATGGAAGAAATTCCTGTTTGTCTCTCCTCCTCTCTATATAGCTGACTTGGCAATAAAAAATAAAAATAAATCTTTTTAAAAAAAATCTTAGAGAAGATGGGAAAGAAGAGAGGAAAGAGGAAGAGTTGGGGCAGAGGCACCATTATCAGCATCTCTGTCACTGTCATTGAGGTGACGCTCCCAGATCCCCCGGCCTCCTCTTCCCACGACCCTCAGCTGCAGCCTGAGCATCCTGCCTCGGCACCCTCGAGGGCCCAGAGCTGCAGGGATACACGGCAGGTGGTGGGTCATTGGCTCTCCATGCTCGCTCTTGTCCCCACCCTCTTGAGCCTCTCCACATCATGACTGACCCGGGGGTCCTGGACAACAGACACACAGCGGTGGTGACCAAGGTCCTCGGCCCGGTCCTGGGCAAGTTGCCCAGCTCAGAGCTGAGGCTCAGGCCTCTCGCTGGTAGCCATCGCAGCGGGGTCACAGCTGCCATCACCCTCCATCAGCACAGGGCCGCCACTCAGTCTCCAGTAACAACCTCCCCAGCCCCCCAGCTCTGACGCCCAGTGCTGCTGTGTCTATATACACAGAAAACACTCATTTGATTTGTTTTTAAAAGCAGAATTACAGAGAGAGAAATGGAGAGTCAGTGAGATCTTTCATCTATTGGTTCACTCAATTTTTTAAAAGACCTGGGCTCGGCCACTCCAAAGCCAGGAACCAGGAGCTTCTTCCAGATCTCCCATGTAGAATCAGGGACCTACACACTTGGCCCATCCTCTACTGCTTCCGCAGGCACATTAGCAGAGAGCTGGATCGGAAGTGAAACAGCCTGGATTTGAAGCAGCAGGCATATGGGAAGCCAGCATTACAGGAGTCAACTTTACCCACTATACCTCAGCTCCAGGCTGTCCCCTGCTCTTCAAACCACCCTTCCCCCATTGCACCTATGGATGTGAACACTGGTTAAAGGGGGTCGGCCCCACAGGGATGCTGTTGAGCTTTTCATCTCATTTGACCCTTAAAGGTCAGGTAAGGTCAGAGGCCACAGGCAGCCACGGCACCTCCCAGCCGTGGGCTCCCTAACAAGCTTGTGTCCCACCACACCATGGAGCCAGTGACATGAGCCGCGCACCTCACCCTTGTGGTCCCTGGAAGCCCAGGCCCGGGAAGAAGATGGGGGCTTTCTCCTTGCCTGATGGTCTATTGTTTCCCATTGATTTCAGGCTCTGCGCAGAGAGCAGAGGGAGCTGGTGACTGTGCTGCGGGAGCCCGAGTGAGGAAGAGACGGCCAGGCCCAGCAACAGAGGGCAGCTGAGGTCGCAGGCCTGTGGTCTGCATTGGCAGGCCCCGGGCGAGCATCCCTGCAGACAGCTGCTGCGGTACCCGGTTCTGGGAGTAGCCAGGCTTTTGCTTCAGAGCCAGGCTGGAGCAGCCCCGTTGCCACAGTGCCTTTGGAGCTCCCTGGGGTCACACACAACACTCCCTTCCGATCCCCCCGCTTTATTCTGACTGGAGAATTGTTGGCAAGTTCCCCCCGCTGGGCTGGGGCCCACGCCACCCCCAGCGCTGTGGTTTCTGAGGTGTCCCCAACCTGGCTTAGGGAGCCTGTTTTCAGTCTCCACTGATTGCCCCCTTGCTGGCGAGCCCAAGGGCTCTAGCCATGGTCTCCCCACATCCGTAAATAAACTTCCTGCAGCACACTGTAATCTGGGAGGACATTTCTTCCGCCGTGGCCGCTCTTGGGCCAAGACCTGCTCCTGGACTGCCGGGTTCTGCCTCCAGCCATAAGCTCCCCCCGACAGCCTGCACTGCCGGGTCAGCAGGGTGGGCTTGGCCATCATGTGCAGGGGTCAGTGGAGCCCCTGTTGCCCCTTATCCCAGAAACCAACTCCCCGAGTTTCCTGAGATCAGGATTGGCTGCCAAAGAAAGGGGTATCGCTGTCCAACCCACTCAGCCCTCCACCTCTCAAGCTGTTTTTGAGAAGGTGTTCATGGTGGGTGCTGCCTGGCTGGGGGTGCACAGAACAAGGCAGGGCCCCAGGGAGCAGCTGGCGTGAAGTCTCTGGCTTCTCCCTGCTTGGGACCAGACGCAAGGCGGAGTGGGGAGCAAAGTTTCTCCCCTGGGATAAGCTCACACAGACCTAACCTGCACTTGTTTGGTCCGTGTGCGGGCACTGGGAATGAAGGAAGGCCCCTACTGGCAGCCACCTGCCCAGAGACTCGCTCACTGACCCTCTGGCAACCCTCCAAGCATCCAGGAGCCTCCCTCTTGTCCAGCCTGCCCCATCTCTGCCATCCGGGTGTGTCAGGCTGGCAGCCCATCTGGGGCGTGGGTGGTGAGGGAGGATGCAGTACCCCTCCCTCCCCTCCAGGCTGACCTGAGGCAGTGGTGGCTCTCTGTTACGGGATTTGGGGGGCAGGCGGGAAGGGTGAGGGTGTTCTGTATGTAGAGGAGGGGATTTCCTGTCAGTTGTGGGAGGGCTGGGAAGAGGCAGGTTCCCCCCTGCAAGGTCGTTGACAATGGAGAGGCTGCAAGGTCAGGGAGGTTGAAGACTCAGGGACCAGACGTGCACTGCATCCCGCCCCTCCGGGCCCTGCCGTCCCACCTGCTGTGCACCCTAAGACCTCCCTATCCTGCACCCTGCAGGACCACCTTCCCTGGCCTGAAGACGGAAGTGGGACGCCCTCACACTGCCCAACCCCCAGGAAAGGACTTGAGATGTGGAATCCAGCAAGAGACTCTCTAGTGACCATTACTGCAAGATTGGCGTCTGTCTGACAAGCAGGCACACCTGGGTGGACTGTGCTCAGCATTTCATCCCCCAGTGTGCAGGTCCCCTCCCCGTTTCCTCATGGGCTGAGCACAGGGGAGTACAATCTTCCCAGCCAGGGCCCAAGTTTCACTATTTCCACATAAGATTTTCTCTTCCCTTCCCCACTTAAATTGATATTTCTCCACAGGGTAAAAGTACCCAAGGGATGTAGAGCTGATAGGTAAAGTTGGTGCTGGGCCAGGGTTAACCTAACACACTTGTTTATTTAGAGATTTTTCTGGTGAGTGAACTTCTGAGCTAATCACATCAGCAAACTACTTGGTCAGGCTAGCTGCCAGTAAGTTTTCACTATTTCATACTGAAGATGGAGCACTAGATAAGTTTCATAGTTCCCCATCTTTATACCTTTTGATTCCATTTTCATTTTAATTTTCATGTTTTTTGCTTTTCAAATCTTTCTGAAAGTGGTTGACTCTTCATAGGAGAATAAGTCTGGCTTAATTTCTAATAACAGTAAATAATTTTGGGGCCTGGCACAATAGCCTAGTGGTTAAAGTCCTCGCCTTGAATGCGCCAGGATGCCATATGGGCGCCAGTTCTAATCCCAGCAGCTCCACTTCCCATCCAGCTCCCTATTTGTGGCCTGAGAAAGCAGTTGAGGGCGGCCCAAAACCTTGGGGACCCTGCACCCACATGGGAGATCCAGATCCAGAGGAGGCTCCTGGCTCCTGGCTTCAGATTGGCTCAGCTCCAACCACTGTGGTCACTTGGGGAGTGAGTCAGTGGATGGCAGATCTTTCTCTGTCTCTCCTCCTGTCTGTCTTTCTAATAAAAATAAATTTTTAAAAAGTGCAACATTGCACAACCAGCATAACAGACACTTCTCCTTCTCTGCTAGTTTTTGGTTTTTCCAAGCCATTTGACTGGTGGAATCCGATCGATTAGCTAGCCCTCGGAGGGTATCACTGGTGCAACTGATAAAATCTTTGTGGGTTTTAGTAAATGTAATGAATCCTGCCAACACTTTTATTAATACTGGACTACCAGAAAAAGCAGGCTGCCTCAAATCCTGCAGCGCTCCGGTTTCAAGCTTGGAATTCATCAGAGAATCCTCCTGGGACTCTTGCTGAATCGATACATTATTTGGGTCAGAGGAGCCCCTTAGCTATTCCCTTTCTCATGAATCATTAGTTCGTTTTTGTTTTTTTTTTTTAAGATTTATTTAATTTAATTGGAAAGGCAGATATACAGAGAGGAGGAGAGTCACTCCCAAGTGACCACAACGGCCAATTCTGCACCGATCCAAAGCCAGGAGCCAGGAACTTCTTCCTGGGTCTCCTATGCGGGTGCAGGGTCCCAAGGCTTTGGGCCGTCCTCGACTGCTTTCCCAGGCCAAAAGCAGGGAGCTGGAATGGGAAATGGGACTGCCAGGATTAGAAGCAGTGGCCCACATGGGATCACAGAGCGCCCAAAGGTGAGGACCTTAGCTGCTGCACTATTGCACAGGTCCCTCATTATTAGTTACTTTTGTGAAATCCCAGGGTGAAGAGAATAGCCCAGGGCTCATCACAAAGGCTCAGTTGGCTAATCCTCCCCCCTTGCAAATGTTGGGATGACATATGGGCACTGGTTTGTGTCCCGGCTACTCCACTTCCCATCCAGCTCCCTGCTGGTGGCCTGGGAAAGCAGAAGAGGACAGCCTTGGGACCCTGTACCCACGTGGGAGACCGGGAAGGAGGAAGCTCCTGGCTCCTGGCTTCGGATTGGCTCAGCTCTAGCCATTGTGGCCAGTTGGGGAATGAACCAGCACACGGATCTTTGTCTCTGTCTCTCCTTCGCTGTGAAATTGCCTTTCCAATTAAAAACAATTTTTTTTAATGAGTTTGACTTACAATGATCATCCCTCAAACGTCTAGACACCCACCCTGGTATTCAGTGGTGCACCAAACCTCATAACAAGCAGCCAAGGCTTCTAGCAGTGATGGCTGAACTCAGGACACAGATGCCAATCTTCTTGGGACAGTTGTCTTATCCCCAAGTGCCCAAGGACAGACCCCGACACACCTTCCATGATGCGTGCGGTGTTTGGGGTCTTGGGATCATGGCTCATTAGTCTAAGTGGACATTGTGGCCCCAGCCAAGATGAACTATCCCTCTGTCCCTGGGCTCCCTACCTCCCAGCACCCCAGCTGCCTAAGCAGAAGCCAACCAGGTTCTTCCATCAGGGATGGATTTTGCTTCTTCAGGCTCCGTGGAAGGGTTGTCCTCGTGCCCGGCACACCCACCACTAGCCCCTTGTTTTATGCCCAGAGTTTCCTGTCCATGGTGTCCCTCTGCCAGAGTGCCATGCGTTCTCCCCTTCTCAGTGGTTGCGCAGGCTCAGTGGTCAGGAGCACGTGGTGGGGGCCTCCATCAGCACCATGTCTCCAGGTGATGAGCAGCAAGTTTGAAGTCTCAGCAAAGAGTCCATTTAACTTAAGGCATGATAGAGTAGAGGACCTAGGCAGGAGACAGTCTCATGGGAACTGGCCTTTGGTTTTCGTGGGTGAAAGGACCACAGACCTCCCCAAGTAAGGGAGCCCATGTCACAACTCTCAAGGAGACAACCCCATGTCCCTTCTTGGAGCCACTCTGACCCTAATGACTAGTATTGGAAGGCAGTTGGTCCAAGCTGGTTTAATGTCCAAGATTAATTTAGAAATTTGCTCTTTTTAAAAAAGATTTAATTATCTTCATTGGAAAGTCAGATATAGAGAGAAGGAGACAGAAAGATCCTTCGTCTGTTGGTTCACTCCCCAAATGGCCACAATGGCCAGAGCTGAGCTGATCAGGAGCTAGGAGCTTCACCTGGATTACCCATGCGGGTGCAAGGTCCCAAGGCCATCCTCTACTACTTTCTCAGACCACTAACAGGAGGCTGGAAATGAAATGGAACAGCCAGGACGTGAACCTGCGTCCACAAGGGATCCTGGCACAGGCAAAGTGAGGACTATAGCCACTAGTCTACCATGCCAGGCCCAGAAATTTGCTTTCTAAGAGTGTGATTCACAGGCTGGACTGTAACACCCATTGGTTCCAGTGGAAGACAGGACTGGAAACAGAACCGACCCAGCAATTGCAACCATCCAGCTGATTGGGGCGGTGGACTGTGCCAGGGCCTGTACTTGCTAGTACACACAAGAATCTGGTCTGGGAACACCTCAGACAAAATTTCTTTGGGGATCTCCCCAATCGAACTGCCGGACTCAGAACCCTAACCATGAAGAGAAGTGCAGGTTCCATGGTCTGCCACGGAGTGCAAATGCCAGAGCTGAGCCTACTCAGAGGCTCAGACAGAGCAGTGGACAGCACAATCAGGTGCACACAGAGGATATGTCAGTCCATTGGAACCTGCAGAGGATACCTGGCACCACACCAGAGGACAGAACAAATCAATCAACTACCCCAGCCATATGTTGGCAGTGAAAAACTGGGCAAACGGAGACTCTAAAGTGGACTATGTCAATCAGTGGATTCTGCAGCGACCTCATTGTGGTTGGAATGGCGAGATTGGCAGCAATTCAGAACTGTTGAACTATCAAAACCACTTGAGCAAGACCCTGGGAGCATGCCTCACATCAGAGACCTGGGATGGGTGGGAGGCTGGGTGGAGCTTCTCCCTTTATCTCCCAATTTACCCCAGATACAGAAAAAAAGAGAATGTGGAAATAATGGTTTTACCCACTTTCCTGTAGCCCTTGGACTTTGGGCCCTAATTAACCATGTAAAGATTGTCAAAACTAAAGAAATTTAAAACAGAAAAAAAGAGTGATTCATCCTTTCTACCTATCCTGAAGGGGAGGATGTCAGGTAGTGCGATAGTCCCTGTTGGCATGCAAGCTTGTGGGGGCTGGCTGGCATAGTGGTTCAACAGGCTAATACCAACATCCCATGTGGGCACTGGCTCCAGCCCTGGCTGCTGTCCTCCCTAGCCAGCTCCCTGCTTGTGGCCTGGGGAAGCGTCAACGGATGGCTCAGATCCTTGGGCCTGCATCCATGTGGGAGACCCGGAGGATGCTCCTTGATCCTTGCTTTCGATCAGCTCAGCTCAAGCCATTCTGGCCATTTAAGCTGAATCAACAGACAAATTTCTGTCTTTCCTTCTCTCATTTTCAATAAAAATAAATTATTTTTTGCGTGTCATCCTTGCGCAGGGGCCATGCTAATCTTCTCTGTATCGTTGCAATTTTAGTATATGTGCTGCCGAAGCGAGCACTAAATTATTTTTTAAATCGAAGCTTGTCATCACCTCCTTCAGTACTACTGATGTGAAATGACTGTGGTTGTCTGAATCAACCTGCTGCCAGGCCGAGTCGGGGGCAGTTTGCTCTAGTACTTTTTTTTTTAAGATATATCTATTTTTGGGCCCGGCGCGGTGGCGCAAGTGGTTAAGTCCTCGCCTTGCACGCCCGGGATCCCATATGGGCGCCGGTTCTAATCCTGGTGGTCCCACTTCCCATCCAGCTCCCTGCCTGTGGCCTGGGAAAGCAGTCGAGGACAGCCCAAAGCTTTGGGACCCTGCACCCGCGTGGGAGACCCGGAAGAGGCTCCTGGCTTCGGATCGGCATAGTATCGGCCGTTGCGGCTCACTTGGGGAGTGAATCATCGGACGGAAGATCTTCCTGTCTGTCTCTCCTCCTCTCTGTATATCCGCCTTTCCAATAAAAAATAATAAAAATAAATCTTTAAAAAAATATATATATATATTTATTTTTATTGGAAAGTCAGATATACAACGAGGAGGAGACACAGAGAGAAAGATCTTCTGTCCGATGATTTGCTCCCCAAGTGATCGCAATGACTGGAGCCAGGAACTTGCTTCCTGGTCTCCCATGTGGGTGCAGGGTCCCAAGGCTTTGGGCCATCCTCAACCGCTTTCCCAGGCCACAAGCAGGGAGCTGGATGGGAAGTGGAGCTGCTGGGATTAGAACCGGTGCCCAAATGGGATCCTGGCACATTCAAGGTGAGGACATTAGCTGCTAGGCCATGTGCTGGGCCCTCTAGTGCTGTTTTGATTATGTTTCTGGTGGTGGTGGCACCTGTGAGAGAACGTCTCCCCAGCCACCGTTCCCAGCAGGCAGCTCAGCCCTGCCACCTCGGGCACCTGGGTGGTTGGCCCGCAGGCCCCAAGCTGGCCATAGCCCAGGAGGTGTTCCTCTCCCGATTTTCCACTTTTCTCCGTTTCCCCTCCGTCATGTGACAGGGCGTCCCCTCCAGCAGACATGGGGTTCGGAGTGTTGTATCACACACCGCATGCAGACCCCAATGCAGACGCGAGTTCCCTCATCCTGCACTTGAATTCCGTTTCTCTCCAGGAAATTCTGTGGTTCCTCCCTCTCCACTTTAGGACACTGGAGCCTGATTGTTACTTTGGGCTTGTTTAGGATTAGGTTACATGGTTTACTCCCCCCAGGGCGGCCTGGTTAGAGGCCTGCTCGGTGTCCTCGGATTTCAACATTGGACATGAACAGATTTCAGACACCTCTGCTGATCGAGAGACTCAAAACGGGTCTGCCTAGTTGCCCACATACTGCTTCCTTTCCCCTGCTGTTTTTATTTTAAAGAGTTATTTTATTTTTGTTGGAAAGTCAGATATACAGAGAGAAGGAGAGACAGAGAACAAGATCTTCTGTCCAATGATTCATTCCTCAAGACATCACAATGGCTAGAGCTGAGCCAGGAGCCTCCTCCAGGTCTCCCACACGGGTGCAGGGTCCCAAAGCTTTGGACTGTCCTCGACTGCTTTCCCAGGCCACAGGCAGGGAGCTGGATGGGAAGTGGGACCACCAGGATTAGAACCGGCGCCCATACAGGAATCTGTTGCGTTCAAGGCAAGGACTTTAGCCACTATGCTATCGTGCTGGGCCTATTCTTTTTTTTTTTTTTTTTTTAATGTCAAGCCTACTTGTAGTTATAAGTAAAACTTTATGGGACCTTGTCCTATAGGGTCTTCAAGATTCAGTTCTTCTCCTTCGGTCTCTAAATCTGTTTTTTTGTTTGTTTGTTTTATTTTGCTTTTAAGAAAACAAACAACAACAACTACAAACCCAAACGGAACATTGGTTGGGGGCTGGACAGGGGCCGGAATGGTCCTTCCTTCTAATAGGGAGCAGTCTTTTTCTTCCTTTTAAGATGAGATTTTGTCATTTACACAGAGGATTAACACTTGGCATGCCCAACTCTCATCTGAGCCAAGTTTGGGCCAAAAGACCAAGGGCTTACGAATTGGGTCTTTAGGCCAATGAAACAATACTTCATCTTTTTTTTTTTTCCTTGTGTTTGTCGTTTGTCCGAGGGCTGTCCGCTGCAGGACTCCAGTATGCTCCCCCATGGACTGCTGAGGATGGGGTTGGGGGCAGGCAGGCAGGGATGTCTTAGAAAACCTCCTCAGTTCCCTGTCCTCAATCCCTTAGACGTGGAAGCTTTGTTCCCCATTTCTGGCTGGTGCACCACCCCCATACAGGTGCTGTTGCATCCTGGTTCCTGTGTCTTAGGGTCTGACGCACTCAGCCCCCCACACGGGAGTCCTGCACACCCCAGCGTGCACTTTGTCTCCAGCAGCTTCCCCCGTGACCTCCTGATTGGGACTCTGCACTCCGCTCTTATCTAGAACATGTCTCAGTCATGCACACTCCAACTTCTGCAAATGCCCAGTCTCACAGGCAACACTCAGAATCCAAATTTCCTACCTTGGCTTGTGCCCAAGTAGTTGCCGGAGTACGTGTGCAGGTGTGTGTGTCCCCACCACTGTCTTCCAGCCTTGGGTTTTTCTATGGCTTGCACAGGGAAGAGGGGCACCTGAGCAGGACTGACCACCCAGATTCAGGTGGGATGCATCATCCACGTCTACCGAACCCTCACTCCACATGTGCATGGAGTTCCCAGATGACTTCCCCAAATTGTGGGAAGCACTTGCAGCTGCCTAAACCCCAGGAATAGACGTGGGACACGAAGTACAGCAAAAGCAAGACTTTACTGACACCTTGCTATATGGACGTCTGTCTGTTGAGCGGGCACACTTGTATCCACGGCAGTCATTTCATTCCCCAGCGCGCAGATCCCTTCCCCATTTTCCCATTGGCTGAGTGCTATGGGATGTATAATCTTAACATCTAGCATTTAGTGTCAGTATTTCCATATAAGGTTATTTTCTCTTCCTCTTCCCCACTGAAATTTTTGCATCTCCACAGTGAAAGAAGCACAAGGAACTGATAGAGCTGATTGGACCAAGCTGCTGGGCCAGGGCTACACCTTGCTGGTAGTTACCATGTCAGAAAGCTGATTGGGGCAGGCTGGCTGTTAGGAATTTTTCATCTTTTTTTACACTGAAAACAGACCAGTGAATCTTTCCCAGGTCAACAGGCTATCCTGATTGGCTATGGCTACCCACCTCCACCCCTTCCCCTATCTGCCCGTACAGCCTGAGCAGAAGCAAGCTGCCCCACACCAGGCTCCTTGGCTGGACAAGCGCCTTGCCCTCCCTGGGGTTTGGCTCTTGCCCAGAGGGCAGACAGTGCAAATCACAGGCTCCAAGATTGCTGGAGCCTGGCTCTGTGCAAACCTATTTTAAGACTTCAGAGCCTTCTCCCCCTTCCTCTCTAGGATCTCCCTGCAATCCAGCCTATGTTTAAACTGGGGTTGGGGGGTCTCAGACTAGGCGCAAGCCCATCCCACTCTCCCCTGGGCTGAGGGTCCAGTCAGCATTGCAAGCCCGGCCACCTCCACTGGTCCGCCCTCCCCACCACACCCGGGACTCCTCCCAAGCAACCACAGCTCCCAACCACAACACCCTTTGGGCCACAGAGCCAGGGTAGATGACCCTCAAATAGCCCTGGCACACTTGTCAATGACCCACCCACACCACTGTCAGGCCCTGTCATCTCCTCCCCTTGATACTCTCCTCCATCCCCCTGCCTGCAGGGCATGGCTCCCGGAGTTATAAATGCTGCTGGAGGCTGAGAGGGGAAGACCGGCTGAATCCCAAGCAGCAGCCCCAGCAAACACCATGAGGGCCCTCACACTCCTCCCTTTGCTGGCCCTGGCCGCTCTCTGCCTTACTGGCCAGGCGGGTAAGCATTACCACTTCTCCCCCAAGCCGCACCCTAGAACGGGCTGCCTGGGAGGGGACCCTGCGACCCTGCCTCTACTCCCTCTTTCTGCCTACAATCCTTTCTACAGCTTGACCACCCTGCTCCTGCTTGGCTTAATCTGCTTGCCCTCAGCCCTGATCTGGTGGAGGCGAGGCAGGGTCGGAGGACCTGCAGGCTGAGCAGGGGTGACCAGACTGGCTCCCTTCCTTTGCAGAAGCGAAGCCCAGTGCAGCACAGTCTGGCAGAAGCACAGGTACAAACCTGGGGTGCTAAGGGGTCCCCCTCGGCAACCATCCCCTATCACCTCACCCCCAACTCCAGTCCCTTCCTGTCTGGTGGTCAGCATACTCCCCACGTCGGCCTCCTGTATACTCACAGCTACTTGATCCCTACCCCCTCTGGCCCCCCACAGCCTTCATGTCCAAGCAGGAGGGCAGCGAGGTGGTGAAGAGAGCCCAGCGCCAAGTGAATGACGGGCCAGGGTGAGCGCAGGCAGCATGGGGAGGCACGACCGGCAGGAGCAGGCGGGCAGGGTGCAGGGTGGACGGGCTTCGCTGGCGGGGAGTGGTGGGCAGGAGCACTGACACCCCTGGTGACCTTTGCAGAGCCCCAGCTCCTGGTCCGGATCCCCTGGAGCCCACGAGGGAAGTGTGTGAACTCAACCCTAACTGCGACGAGCTGGCCGACCAGGTGGGCCTGCAGGACGCCTACCAGCGCTTCTATGGCACGGTCACAGCCTAGGGCATCTGCTGTCCCTGCCCTCCATCCCCCAGACCCTGCCTCCACCATCCCAGCCTGCCCAACCTGCCAGCCACCACTGCAGAATAAACTCGCAAGGAGGACCTGGACCTGCGTGCATGCAGTCTGTGGGCTGGGGGAGGGCAGGGTGAGGAGGATGGTGTGGAGAGGGTTTTGCTCCAGATCAGATCCAGAAAGCAAGCTGCTCAGAAAGGCCCCTCATGGCTGGCTTCCTTTGCACCTGCTTGGTTCAGCTAAAAGGAAGCTGTGAGGGTAGTGGCCTATAGTCCAACCAGGCCTCCCCTTGGGCCCAGCACACCCCTCCAGGAGCCACTACGCACCCCAACAGACCCAGTCCCAAAGGCCCAGCAGCCTGGTGCCCCCTGGCTCACACAGGCAGCAGCCTGCAGCCAGCTAGGTCAGCCAACACGCAGGGTGGGTTAGTTGTGTTAGTTGTCCCCTGAGCTGAGCAGAGACTTCCAGAAGCACCAGAAACGGGGCCACCCTTCCCCTTCCCTGCCTCCACTGGAGCTGGGGCAGCTCCAGCCTGGCCATGCACCGCAAACCTCCTGCAGACCCTCAACACTTTCCCACTGCCATCACGAGACCCCCACTCTATTCCAAGGTTCTCTCTCCTGCCAGCGCCTTCACACTGATGTTCCCCTTGTCTGCCCTCCCTTTGGCCCCTCACGGTTCCCCTTGCCCAGGCGGCCCAGGGACGCAGTCTCACTGGTGCTTAGTCTGAAAACCCCTGCCCAGTGGTGGCAGTGGCGGGCTGCCCTGCAGCAGGGGGCAGGTGGCAGGGGCCCGAAGCACCCAGGCTGTGAAGGCGGTAATGATGAGCAGGTTTCCGGCCACTGCCAGGCCCAGTGTGGCCACCAAGCCAGCCAGGCCCAGCGGCGCTTCCTGCCAGGCCAGCCAGGCTCGGCGCGATCCCATGTCAGCCAGCACGGCCTCCAGCTGGAAGTGGGTGCCCAGCACCGCACAGACATGAAACAGCTGGTGGCTGTGACCTGGCAGGGAAGAATGGGCAAGTGAGACGCACACTCACGCTGAGACTGCCCCTGACCTCTTCCTTTCTTGTGCCCTGGGTCCCGCTACTCCCCTGCCTGTTGGGATAAAGAAACCCAGAAAGTCCCTAGAAGAAATGGATGGATGAGTGAATGTGCACGAAGCTCCCAGTATCTCTTGCCAAGTCAGGCTGGGACCCATCAGGGGGCTGTGGAGGACAGGCTGAAAGGCAGAAAGTCCTAACCCCTACCACCCTCCAATACACCCTCCCATTCCCTGGCTGAGCCTGGGTTCTAGGAAGCCAGATCCCCTATCCCAGCCCCCACTAAACTCCTTTCCCATGCCCCTGCCGGTCAGGCCGGCTGTTCTGTGTGTACTCACCAATGTAGTCGAAGCGCCCGGGGGCCAGCCTTTCTGGCAGGTGGGAGGTGAAGAGAAAGCCAGTGAGCAATGCACAGAGCAGGTGATAGGCATGGCTGGGGCTCAGTGCCTCCTGCCCACAAGTGGGGCCCCTGCTCCAGCACAGCCCCAGCTGCAGTAAAGGACAGAGGAATCAGGACAGGAAATGAGGGACACGTGTCTGGGGTCTGGGTGGAGGGCCATTGCACCGTTGTGCTGGGCCTGGGGACTCGCCGGCAGGGGATTGGCGAGGGGTGCTGAGCACCGGGAGAGGCAGGAGCCTGGGGGCACCCCACACACTGCCACACGGCTTCCCTACCCGGTAGAAGAGCGGCAGGTTGTCGAACAGGAAGGGGTAGGCAAAGGCAGCCGTGCGCAGAACCTTGCTGAGTCGAGGGCTCTCTAACTCTGGGAACCTGTGGGGGAGAGGGGGCAGGTGTGCATCATCACTAGCTTTGGGTAGGGGGTCTGAGAAGAACCTTGGGGTCAAGATGGAGTGTCCGTGCACTTCAGAGGCTCTCCGGGCACAGGTCAGCCTGGGAATGAGCGCACCTGTGAAACTGGGAAGTGACCACCTGCCTCCCAGGTGCTTGGGACAGTTACCGCGCAGGCGCGAAGGCTCTGACTGTCACGCCCTCCATGAATGGCCATGCTGTCACTCACGCAAGTGAAATGTTCAAGAACAGTGAGGGATGTCCCCGCCCATCCTCCCCGCCCCCCGTGCCTTCCCTTCCACCCGCTACTGGCCTGAGAACCCACCGCGAGTAGCAGGAGAGGCCGGTACACAGGAAGGAGTTGAGCGCGGCGGTGGGTACAAAAAGCTGGTGCAGGCGGCTGTGCAGCCAGGAGGCCGGCATGGAGTAGGCGGCATAGGGGAAGGCGGAACCTGCGGTGAAGCGGGGTGTGGGGAATGGGGCGCTGGAGCTGATGACCGAGGGGCGTTGCCTCCTTTCTGCGCTCCGCCGCCGACTCACCCAGGCTGTAGAGGCTGAGCGCGCCGTAGTCCAGGAAGTAGCAGATGTGTCGCGCACGCGCCGACATGGAGCTGAAGGTGTGCGCGCAGCACGACGCAAAAGGGTAGAGGCAGGCGGGCAGCAGGAAGACGAGCAAGGGCCAGTGGTAGGGCTCTGCGCGGAAGCTCGGGCCGCCCACCAGCGCCAGGAGGCGCCACAGGAAGTACCTGCGGGCCAGCAGGTGCTCAGACCAGACAGGCCTGGTCCAGGCCCACCTGGGCACCCATTTCTGGGGCAGCGCTTCTCACCAGGTGGGCAGGAAGTGAGTCCAGATGTTGACTGTCTCATTGGTCAGTTGGAAGGAGCTGAGGACACAGTCCAAGGCCGAGCTGGTGGGGCAGCGGTAGCCAGACATGATGCCATCTTCCCAGAACACCTGGGGTGGCAGTGGAGCAGATGGAGGTGGTCATGTCAGGACCTTTCTGCTGCAGCACTGATCCCTGCGAGCAGGCAGGAAACTGACCAGGTGGCCCAAAACTAAGCCAAATCCTGCCTCTTCTTAGTGTAGGTCCCAGCATGTGTCCTCACCGCAGGAGCCAGAGCCAGGGTGCAGGATGGGACTGGGAGGGTCTAGCGGAAGTGGGGTGGGGGGCACTGTGGCCTCTGACAAGAATCTCAGGAACTGAGTGAGCAGAGGTGCAAGCTGGGAGGGGTGGGGTGGCAAAGAGCTACCTTGCAGGAGGGACTTCCCTAACAGCTCTAAGAACCTCTGCCTCAGTGTCCTGGGCAGTAGGGTGTGGTGGGCAGAGCCCCTCACCCGAGGGACCTGGTGGACTTGAAGAAGTTGGGGTAGCTTGAGGCTGAGCATGCTGCCTTGGCACCTCCACGTTGACCTACAGACAAGAGTGAGGCACAGGGGCATCAGGTGTCAGCTCACGTCTGCAGGCCCCTTTCCCCTCTGGAGGTTGGGGGGTACAGCTGGGCACTCTGCCCCAGGATGGGCTGCTGTGCACACACACGTGTGCCTTCCTCCAGGACCTCGACGGACACAGAGGTAGTAGGTCCAGTCCCTGGGAGCCAGCCCCCAGCCCTGACTCTGTCCTCCCTCATTCCGGAGGTGGGGGGTGGCGGTACTGAGAACCCAGAAAAGTTCTTGGCCCTCAGGGGAAAAACTTAAAGAGAAGCAGAAGTCAGCCAGGGGGGCAAATGAATTAGGGGGATGCCCAACTCTGAGGACTCCATGGATACCCCGGCGAGCATGCAGGGTCCCTACCCCTCCCAAGCACTGTGCCCCTTAATCCCAGACCTATGTGCTGCCGCTGCTGCCGGGTGGCCCAGGCTATGCTACTCCACCCGCCTCTCCAGCACATTCTTTGGCACAGATTAAGGGACCTGGCCGGGCCACCCCAGGAGGAGGGCAAACAGGAGGCTCCCTCTATGCCCCCATGCCAAAGCTTTCCAGCAACTCTGCATGGCCTCACTTCATCCTTCCTGTCTGTCCTCCATGTGCACGTTGCTTCCTCTCCATGTGGGGGTCCTCCTGCCCCTTCCCCGGGGCACACACAAGGAAGCCCCAGTACCAGGATTCTGCACCCACTCCCAGATGCAGGATCAGGAGGTCTCACCAGTGCTGACCCACACTGCCCACCCAGCAACCGGAGGAAAGGGGGAAGGAGGAAGATGCTGGGGTCTCACTCTACCCTTAGCAGTGGGACTGGGAGCACTCCAGGGCGGAGTCGGGCATGTGCAGCTGCCCTGGAGATGGAGGCTACAGCCAACACTGCACCTGTCACCCCAGCAGTCCCAGGTGCACTTCCTTACCCAGAGCGTGCTGGGTGCTCCCGGGCCGGTGGGTCAGCAAGCTCCAGGCCCAGAGCTCCACGGGTGGAGTTCCAGGCTCCCACCAGCCAGGCTGGCAAAGGAAAAGTGGCTGGGCGGGGAGGCGGGCCAGGACTAGGCGGGAGTGGGGAGACAAAGGGAGCCAGAACAATTCTGGCCTTGTTCAGCCTCCAGGGAGCAGCACAGGGTGGCCCAGCCCCATTAGCAGGCAGATCACTCAGCCTCCTGCACACACACAGCCTGTCCCAGTCTGCTCAGACTGGTTCCAAGAGAGTAGAGGCCCAGGCCAGGAAGCAGCTCCAGCAGCATGCAGCCTGTCTCCCACTGGAATGGCATATCCAGCTCAGCCTCGGGCTGGGAAGAGGGACTCCTGTCCCTGGGTTTAGGCTCATTTCTGGCTCCATGTACCCCATGCTTGCTACACCTTATTGAGCTCCTGGCATGGGGTAGGGCTTGGAGCAAACCACCTTTGGCAGATGTCAGTTTAACATTGGCCCTCTGCATGACACCGAAGACCCAGGGACTGTGAAGGGGTTAGCAAGCCAGGTGCAGGCAGTGGGCAGCACCTGCACCCCTGGGGAAACAGTGCCTCAGTCTCCAGTGTGGGCGATTTCAGGAGCATCCACCAACTTCCTGTCCCATCTGTGTGGAAGCCACCGTTTCCCTCCCCCAGAGAACAGGCTGGTACACAGGGCTCAGGTGTCTTTATTAAGTGATGCTTTAGTCTCCATTTCTGCCAGACCTTGGGGAGCGTGACTGAGTCCAACTCAAAGGTTTCCCTCAGATCTGCTGCTGGAGGAAGCAGGCAAGAGGTCAGTGCTCCCCTCAGAACAACTTGGGCAGCTAAGTGAGTGCTGGGGTGGGGCTTGCTGAGGCCAGGGCCCCAGCCCCAGGTGACCCACGCACCCGTGTGCGATGGGTGCAGCTGGATGCAACAGCTGTTCCCCCACAGCTCTGCTCTTGGTGCACCCCTCCACTGCCCTGAGCTCATCATGATCTCTGGCCCCTCAGTCACCTCCACCCTCCCAAAGCCAGTCCCTGGGACTTGGCAACCCTGGCAAGGGGGCACAAAAAGGAGCTGCACCCCAATGCCACCATGCTGAGTTCTGGCTTAGCTTCAGCCCTCCCTGGATGGAACTGGGAGAGGTGACCTCAGCTACACCCTCCCTAGCACTGCTGCCCACTCCACCCTGGCACAGCAGCTGAGAACATAGGGCACAGCACTATGGGGCCTGCACCTGCCCTGGCCATCTGACCCAGGGAAGCAGAGGGTGAGGTGAGGTGACTCCGTGTGTGGCCCCTGCAGCAACTGCAGGAGGTGGGGCACAGCCCTGGCCCTGCTCCCATAGATGGCCCCACAGCTGCTCTGCCCCCTCCCTTCCACCGCCGTGGAAGGAGACGAAACGGAAATGAGTGGTCCTTGAGGAGGGGAGGGGGTCTGCGGAGATCCACCCAGACACCTGGGATCACTCAACTCTTCCCCCAGGTCCTGGAGGGTCCAAACTCCTGCCCGCCCCCAGCGGCCTGCATCTTGGGTAAGCAGGAAGGCCCCTTCTGCTGGGCCTCCCCTCAGACATCCAGGAACCACTCCCATGAAATGCAGTCCCCTACGCCTGCCGCCCGCCCCTGGGGACAGCCAGAGGGCCGGGGCAGGAAGGCTGGCCAGGGGCCCATCGGCTTTTCCTGCACCGAGACTTCCCTCGCTTTCCTGACATCATCGTGGCAACAGGGGCCCCCACCCTCCCAGTGGCTCCTGGGCCCTCCCTGCAGCTGGTGCGTGTGCAGCTGGGCTTCCTTCCCATGCGCGTGCATGTGGTGGGATGACTGCAGGTGGTGGTCCTGGCTGCCAGGGAGGGCAGGAGAGATTTGGAGTCAGCCCCATGGCAGGGCCTGGAGGTCAGTCTCAGCCAATCTCCTTCCACTGCTTGTAGAAGTCTAGAACATTCTTGATGTCCACGCTGGCATGGGCAGCGGCCTGTAAGGCTGCCTGTGGGGGAAGCGGGGAAGGAAAAGATAGCAGAGGGCCTCACCTGCTGAGCTGTGGGGCAAGTCACTGAGGGGCGGGGGCAGGGTGGCAGAGGAATGCTATAGTTGCCAAAGGGCCTGTGGGTGGAGCCGTCTCAGGCACTGTGCCCCGCCCCAACCCATCCCCAACCTACCTGCATGGGGCCCGAGAGTGTGCTGGGGTTGTCCAGTGGAAGGCCTGTGACGATGGTCACCATGCCACTCGGGTCTTCCTCACCTGCCCCCTGGGCCAATGTCAGCTGTTTGCAACTGTCCAGGATCTTATAGAGGGTCCTGATGGGCAGAGGAGGATACACAAGATCCGGCATGAGTCTCAAAAGCTAGGGTCACCAGGGTCAGGGGGCACTAGGGAGCAAGAGGACCCGAGGAGAGCGAGGACAGCTAGGTGGCCGGGGCAGAGGGGTCTGGCAGGTGGCCCGGGAGACATGCTAAGGTGTGCTCCCCGAGACACCATGACGAGATATTCCAAGGCCACAGGGCTGACCCCATCTGCAGTGCTGAGACCTCCCGGCTACCCCAGTGCCCTTGGGTCATGCTGAAATCTCAGGGTGAGGCTGAACTTTTACCAGGCATCTGTGTCCTGCCTTTTCAGCTTATGGCGCTCAAAGCTCTTCCCCACTTCTTTCTGGCAGCGAATGTACCTGCAGAGGAGACAGAGCATGGTGTCAGCAGTGGAGGAGGGCGGGAGGCTGCCTTCCACAATGCAGGCCATTGTGGCTCTGTGAGCCTGCTCTGTGAGCCCAGCTAGGGGTGGGGGAGGGCGGGGTTCTGTCTGGAGCCATCTGGAAGCAGCTTCCTGGCCGCTGGGTCCAGATTGCTTTTCTCCTTGATAGCATCAAGTCCTCGGTTCCTCCCAGGGGAGAGTCCAAGAGGGGTGAAGCAGCGATGCCTTTCAGGTCAGGTTCTCTGGAGACGAGGTTCCAACAAGCGGGTTTTGTGCAGCATCCTGGCCAGCCAGGGATGGGATGGGCAGCTTTGTCCTGCTGCCCACTGTCCAGTCCTTCCCCAGCCGCAAAGGCCAGAGAGAGAAGGAGGTTGACTGTGCTGGGCTGGTCCTTTTCCCGTCAGCAGGCCTTAAGGGAGACCTCGTCTTCCCAATCACTGCAGTGTCCCCTTCCCAGGCGCTGTGAGCAGGTACTGTGGGTGTGGTCCACAGAGCAACAGGGCTCTGGCCAGGCAGGCCCACACTCACCTGTTTCCTTTTTTAAACTCCGCCTCCAGGTAGCGGATGCCATCCCGGGCCCCTGGGTGTTCCTTCTTCAGCAAATCCAGGCCATCGATCACTGGGAGCGGGGAGAGGGAAGGGGGCAGTGAAGGATCATTGTGACTTGGGGCGCCCCGCCACCCCTCTGACAGCCAAGTCCCTGGCATGTCACCATGTGCTTTTAATTTCCTTCTCTTGTATTCCTCCCACTTGTCAGGTGAGGCAGGGTTCAATGAGGACTGCTACACCCATTTCACTGCCAACATTACTGGGCTTCAATAGGAGGCAGGACCTTATCAAGGTGACCACGTATACACAGGGCTCCCACCCAGGCCCTCTGGCTCCTGCACCCCACAGGCTGACCTGTCCTTGGGATGATGATGATGAAGCGGCCACTGGCAGCCAGCTGACGGATGACAAGGAGGTGGTGGCAGAGGGCCTGAGTGTCAGGGATGAGGTAGGGCGACATGGCTGACTGGGCCCTGGGCTGCTGCAGGCTGCCCTCCAGCTGAGAGACCTCGAGCTGGAAAAAAGAGGGTGGAGTTAGGATGGCCACATGAGAGTGGTACCCGAGGTGACGCTTGCACAGCCCCTCCTGTCACTGAGCAGGCGCTGAGGGAAGCAGACAGCAAGAAGGGAACAAAAAGAGGAGGAGGTAGAAGTGAGGGAGGGAGGGGCCATTTGACTTAGCTAAGAGTGAGTGACAGGGCGCCTCTCTCAGAGACACTGGGGCCAGGGACGCAGTGGCACTGAGTGGCCAAGAGCTGCCAGTGGGGCTTAGGTGAGAACCAGAGCAAAGG